TTTCTATGCCTGTGCCATTGTTTTACTTATTTAGTGTTTAAAAACCATCCTGAAACCACCAATGGAAAGGCAGAATGATCTGATCTAAAGGAAGCCGGAATAATGGATGCTGGAGTAAATTAGGCTGGTGTAACTTACCCCTATTCCAATCTTTGATTTTGGGGCTCCAAAATTTCAGCAGCACCCTGTGCGATGCTAAAATCTGACACATACACCCCGCCTGCCTCTCACGCTCCATTCTGCATAATTGTTGTGGTGCTTCCTGCAGTGTGGCACCGGTCATGCTACCCTAAAGCTGCCTCTGCTGCCAGTTGAGCTGGCCAGAGCCTGGCAGAGAGAAAACAAGCCTTTAAAACAGTTTGACTTTCACCACCCTCTTGGCCAGTTTTAACTTCTGATGGGTTGCTAGGTCATGTTTGGAACAGGAGTAAGTCTCCCCTGCCCCGTCATGCCCACCGCCCAAACCTCCAGAATGCCCCCTTTTCAGGACTTAACCTAGCCTCAGCTCAGACGGCTATGACTGAGCCCCAAGATAAGGTAGGATGAAGGACCGTAGTGCTTTGATTTTTATTCTATCCCCCCCCCCCGGTGGACCATGGGCTTGGATTGCTCCCTTCAACAAAATATAGATAAAACAAAATATGTACTCTAGGATGTCTCACAGTGCTGCATTTGCATGTGTGCAAATCAACTATACAATGTATGAAGGGTCCCCAGGTTATGCCAATCGACCCTGTATGACACCTAACTTTCAGCGCAGCCCTATGCATTTTGACTCAGAAGTAAGTCCTGTTGTGTCCCATGGGGCTTACCCCTAGGTAAGTGGGCACAGGACTATAGCTCCAGGCTCTAACTCCCAGATGTCCAGGTTCCACTATGTACTGCATACATTTCTACTGCTACAATGGATCCTCTTCTGGTGACCTTTGGTCTAAGTTTTGGAAATGAAAAAAGAAAAGAAGGAGTCATGCACCTGCTGCCCTTACGAGCTGACCCCACTTTTGTGGTCAATCTTTCCGCTTGCCCCTTGAAACAACTGTGACATATGCACTCTCCTACCCAAACTAGGGCAATTCTAGTTTTGAGGCAGCATTTATATGTGTGCTTACCAGGCAGTAAACTTTTCTAAACAGAGCAGGTCTCACTTCCATGTAAACACATAGCATTGCTCTGCAAATTTCAAGAACACACCAATTTTACATGCTAACTATATTATGAACTATGCATTTAATGCTGCCAAAGCTGTAAAAGGTTTGGGTTAGAAAAGAAAATAAGTACTGCAAAGGTTTTCATTTCCATTCCCCTGCGCGCAGAAAAAGAAGTTTTTCCCTTTCAAACTTTCTGGGAATTTTACATCCTATCTATGTAATATTTGGGAATCATTATGTATATAGCATGGCTTCATTGCAGGCACATAGGTGGCTTATGATGATGTGGAGATTCTCCATGCAATATGTTGATTCTGAAGAAAGCACATTTCAAAACTGCAGGTTTTAGTGACTTCCACAGGGAAGCCTATCATGTTTTAATCGAATACTGGTCTTCAACTACAGTTTCGTGATCACCATTTGTTTCTCTGTGTAGAATCTAAATTCAAAACTCTGAACTGCAAGCACTTGTTCTGAGCAACTTGCGACCTGCTAAACCAAACGTAGCCTACAAGACGGTGGTCCAATAGGAAGGCAATAAATCTCCGGATTTTGCCACTGACCTGTTACTGCTAAGCAGCAGAATTGTTGGGACACTTGGCAGGTCACACCAGATGCCCGATGGGATATGTTTGGCTTGGTAGGTCACACGCTAATGAGGAAGGCCCCAAATTCAGTGGCAGAGGACATGCTTAATGTGGGAAAAATCTGAGGTTCAAGATCCCTGCCATTTCTGGATAGGGCGAGTGGAAGTCCCCTGTCGGAAACTGGAATGCCAAAGCCACAGAGTGCAGAAGAGCCTAACTCAAGAGGACACAACTTTATATGTACCAACCTCCGCATTGCTTTACCCCATCTCCCTTCCTTGTTACACCTAGCTCAATACTGTCACCAGCCTCCCACAAACTGTATCCCCCCACGATGCTTCCAATTACAACTCCCATCAGCCCCAGTCAGGATGACAAACATTCAGGGATGATGAAAGTCGTAGTACAACATCTGGAGTGTCCCAGGATGAGGAAGGCCGATGCATTGAGCTAAATGAACCAACAGTCTGACTTGGTATCAAGTTGGCATCCTGCAATGTTCAGGCCTGGAATGAAGATGCTGCCAGCTACTCCGTGAGACCATTTGGCCCCTCTTTGTCCAGGACGGACTCCTCTTGACTGGTGGCAAGTCTCCAGGGTGGGTTTTATCCCAGCCCTACTACCTGAAATCCCAGGACTGGACCTGGTGCCTTCTGTAAGCACACTCTATGACAGCGTACCTTAAATCTAAGAATTAGGTGCTCTTTTGCAGCACCATTCCCAAAACAGTGTAAGAAAGGAGCTGTCTTCCCTAAACGCCCCCTTCCCCTAAAAAACAAACTCTGGTTGAATTATAGTCAAACCGACTCCCACAGGAGATGATGGACTCTCCTTCCTTGCAGGCTTTTAAGCAGCGGTTGGATGGCCACCTGTCATGGATGCTTTAGTTCAGATTTCTGCATTGCAAGGGGTTGGACTGGATAACCCTTGGGGTCCCTTCCAACTCTCTATGATAGGATCAGTGGTTCAATGCAGCAACTCTCTATTTCCACAAGTTTAATTTTTCCTTTTGCCACTGGAGCCCTTCCGATTGAGACTGTTAACGCGGGCGACATGGTCGCTTCCAGCCTTGCCTTTCATCAACACGACCTTAAGATCTGTGTCAATGTCATTTTAGAATGGTTTAGAGTGCATATTGATCAGCCTAAACCTGCGTCTTGGGAGCGAAACCGACACCGGTATATCTAGTTTAAGGGAGACAAGGGCCTAAAGATTGGCACTGATAGAAAGCTTGGGTGGAAACAGCTCTTCTCTCTGCCAGCTGCCACCTTGCTTTTTATCTTAGTTAGGGTGCTTCCAAACAGCCTCTCCCCCCTAAAAACTCACACTGATTGAGAAAAAGGGGTGGGAGCATTTAAAAGAAAAAGGTTGTAAATGGCATCACCACCAGAGATGGGATGTCGGTGCTGTTGCTTCTTTGTGCAACCCACGCTCATTTTTCTAAGTCCTTATGGACTAGCAATTAGCTATACTCATTCCAATCGTGAACTTGGGTGGTCAAGGGCCGATGGTTTAGGAGTGAAACGGGGTCATCCCATAAGCCCTGAAAAAGGAGCATTCCTCTTGAAGGGTAGGGATATGCTGCAACCATTTTTACTACTAATAATAACAAAGGATCAGCACCGTCCCAGTATAGGTTGCAGGTGCCCTTAAACTCCAATCCTGTCCCCTTCCACAACAGCAAAAGACGTCATCAACAGAACCCCCAGCCTCTGACTGGATGCAGAGGAGCTCTGTGGCTTTGGACATACCAATATGGGAAGTTCCTGAGCTCCCGGCTCGATATTTTAGGGGATGCAAACACGTTTCATCAGCAAAAGTATGTCGGGGGGGGATGGGGGAATGTCTCTGCAGAGGTAACGTGCAAAGTTGGATTGTAAAGGAGAATCAGGTGTGTACACCTTTCTGCACCCAACCAATTCTCCTTTGCACACACTTCCATTCCCCAGCTGCCTGCAACCGAATCATGCAGGATAAAAAAAAAAGGTGGAAAAACTTGTTGATGGGGGGAATCACCCCTCCCCACATCCCCCTGGCCTGCCCCTTCTCCCCTGCACGTATCCCTGCCAACTAACACACCAGAACCCAACTTGTCTCTCGCTCTGTCAAGTTCTGCCTTTCAGGTTGAGTCAGAAGTGTGAAAGCAGGAGGAGGGAAAGGTACCACATTTCATGGGCCTTTGCACACATCCCTGCCATGTTTAGACCAATGCCCCAATTCCCTTAGCGCACAGCGCAGACTAACAGGGAGTGCATTAGCACCAATGTGTTTCAATTAACCGAGACACTTGGCAAGGCTCCCTACATGTTGTCAAGAATCTACTGACTGACTGAGCTATCCATCTCTGGCCTCCCCATTAAAAAAACACCTCCTGTTTTACTAATCCAGATACTGCTAAAGAGTTTCCAAATCATTTCCAAACTTTTATGCTCCCTTAGATCTCCACTCCTCAGTGGCCACTATTTTTGAATTATGCATTAACTCTCCGGTGTAACATAGCATACGCTGTCAAGTGTAAGCAGGGATGAGGTATAACTATGACATGAGCCAATAACAATAATAATAATAATGAGAGATTTTAAAGTCTGTGTGTTCTTTCAAGTGCTCCAAGCTCTTCACATACATTTATACCAGGGATCCTTACAACTAAAGTAGGATAATACTCCATATTGCAAGATATTAGGGAGCAAAACTGAGAAAGACTGGCTTGGGTACAGCCCTGGCACAGGTCAGGTGCAAAAGCCAGGTGCTCTCTGGCCCCAGTCTCTTGACAACAATGCACCAGAACAAATAACAACAGAGCAAAGATCTGCATTCTTGACAGGACCATGGACACAGTTTACTGTTGTGGATGTGAGCAAGACCCCACACTTCTTCTGTAGCTTGAAGAGTAAAGGGGTTATGTCTAAAGGCTGCTTGGAATAGTGGTCTGGAAGGTGGCGGAGGCAGAATTGCAGACGCAGGTGCATCTTACATTAAAATGAAATCAGTCTCTGAGAATCAGCTCTCCAGAAGAAAAGGGCACTTCGTATTTGTTTCTCATGAGGAGTTAGTGGGAGGCGGGGGTGTGCTCACGGGGTTCGCCCCAATACTTCCCAGTAGGGTATGGAGAATTTCAGAGAGCTAGCTTTAAAAATAACACCTGGACCACCACAACCTCAAGGGCAGGCGCTGAGCCCCGCTGCTTCCCTCGACCCAGCCGCCTCTCCCCGCCCACCTTTCCGGCGGCTGTGCAGGTTGCTGCCTGCGACCTGCCCTTCCTTACCTTGCAAGGGAAAAGGACGGCCGAGGCCACTTTTTCCATGGCCAGGTTCCTGATGCTGGGGGTCAAGGATCCCCGGCACGTGGGGCAGCAGCTCAGCTTCTGCCGGCATTGGTTGCACACCAGGTGCCCGGCCTGGCACTGCAGGATCGGGGGCAGCACATAGTCGAAGCAAACCGGGCACTCGAAAAGCGAGGTCAGCTCGTGGTGCTGAGGCGAGACCGGCCCGCCGCTGCCTTCGCCTCCTCCAGGGCTCGAGATCACAGCGGCCGCGGCGGAGACCGCGGAGGAACCGGCCCCGGCGGCGGAGATGGTGGCGACGGCGGCGTTGGCGGCAGCGGCAGGGGCAGCAGCCGGCGACGGGGTGTGCTGCTGCTGCTGCTGCTTGCCGCAGGGTTTGCTAGCGCTGGGTCCGGCGGAGGACGGGCGGCTCATCTCGGTCGGGACAAACCATCGAACGGCGGGCACCGAGCTGATTCGCTCACCGAAACCCCGCAGGCCCCCGCCAGCGAGACTCCAAACAACAGCGCCCGGTTCCCTGGAGCCGCTGCTGCTGCTCCTCGGAGAGCCCGGCCGGGCCTCGCCTCCGCGCCGCGGGAGAGCGCGAGCGTTCCAAAGTGTGTGCGAGCGTTCCAAAAGAGAAGCCCCGACGTTCCACCGGGCCAGCTCAGCGTTCTAAGCCGCTCCTCCGCCCCCGGCGGCCCTTCCGCTCCTCCCCCGGGCAAAGCGCGCGTGGTTCCTTCTCAAACCGCCCCCCCCCCGACGCACGCCGTCCCTCCCCGGAACATTAATCTGACGCAAGAAAGAGAGGCAGGGGGTGGTGTAGAGTCGCAGCCTGCTCCCGAAGCCGATGCTGGCTCCTACTGAGCATGCCCTTGGTCTTTGCTGATGGCAAGGCGGAGACTTCGGGGGCGGGGGGGGGAGAGATAGATAGATAGATAGAAAGAGAGAGAGAATGGGCGGGAGCGAGGAAGAAAGGAAGAAATCGGTGTCCTCTTTCTCTCCTTTCCCCCGCCACAATCTGCTCCTGGAGATTCTCGCGGAGGCACCGCCCCCCCTCTAAAATTAAAATAAAAAAAACCAGCGGCCGCTGAAGGCGAGAGAAAAAAGGGGGAGTGGAGATGGGCACGCGCGCACATGGAAGCTTCTTCACTCTATTGTTCAATGGCGCACCAGAGCCAGGATAGGCGCTCCGGCCCGCCATCTGCTGGGCATGGAACTCACTTCTTCGCCCGAGCCAATAATAGGTCCACAACAGAGCGCGCTGCTTCTCTTTGGAGGGAACCCATCGCTGTGTTGTACCTCCAAGAAGCTGGAGGAAGCAATGCTTTTGAATACCAGTTGCTGGGAAACCTCGCTGGATTAGGTGGGCCGCCGGCCTGACCAGCAGGGCAATTATTCTTGTCTTCTGAAGGAGGCTTTCCAAAGAAAATGTGATAAGGAGCGCACGGATCCGTGCAGGATCCCCACTGGACACAATGGGATTTACGGTACTTCCAAGATAATATGCGCATAGGATAGCTGCACTGAACCTGCTGTTTCTACTGATCTTACCCAGCAGTTGACTTGGCTGTCTCTTCCACAGCACAGACATTAGTAGCAGTCTATAAAGTAAACATTTACCTATTTATTTATTAAATTTATATTCCGCCCGTCATCCGAAGATCAAAGGGTGGTTTACAGCATAAAAATGCAAAATGGGAACACAAAATACATAAACAAACCCCAATAACCCACCCTACAATCACATTTAAAAGGCCATTGATTGTTTAATTAGCCAACAGCTTAATTAAAGGTATTATTCCACAAGCAGGGAGCCACCACCCATAAATACTGAAGCACAACTCAGAATGTCCAGTTCATCAGTTCATTCTGGACATTTTAATCTACCTGTTCAAGCTGTTTTAAGATATAAGAATTTCCAATCCTGGGGGAAATGCAAACACTCCCCCCCCCATCTTGTGGTGAATTTCCAGTGGCAGGGGAAAAATGTTTCTAATGTTTCAAGAATCAAGTCCAACAAATCTATAAGCAACTATATCGTTGGGCAGAGGCAGAATCCTAGGTCCTGTCAGTGGGCCAGATTCATTCTTGTTGGCACAATATTGTGCCAATGAAACATGCATGTTAACTAAAATATATATACCAGATTTTCCTATGCAGAGTACAGGATATCACACACAAACACTCCTGCGTCCCAGTTTGGAGCAAGAGGAAGGAATCAGTTCTGCATTGGCAGAACTGGTAAACACAGCCAAGACGGCAGGTTTTCAAACTGCTCTGTGGGGTGGGATTCAGTTTACATTCAGCCCCCAACTAAAATGGAGGGGAAAGCCTTCGTTTTAGCAGCAGGTCGTAAGGGGTTTGCATTGGACTTCCAGGTGACAATGGCGACAAGTATGGCTTCTTGTTCTTGAGTTCCATGGTCTGTTCTAGTTTTCATTAAAAAACCCACACACAAAAAACCCACAACTTGAATAGTTTTTAAATTGCAAAGGCAGTTGGCTCAGCAGTTAACTTTAATTGCCCCATACAGGCAAGGAGCATACCTGTTTTGTTTGTTTTATTTCTATATGGGCTTAAAAACCATATATTTTAACTGGAGAGGAGCGGAAAGAGCAGCTGTTTTGGCTGGGCGTTTTTAACTGATATGAAACTGATAAGAAACGCTTAGAAGAACATCTCGATCAAAGGACACTCGGCAGTTTTAATATGGTTATTACACGAGCACAGACCTGCAGTGCTTCCGTTACGACATCCAAAACTTTATTGCCAAATTTAGTCCAGAAATCTATGCAGTACTCCTGTGTCTCAGCAAAGGGAGGAAGAGGTGCTTCAAAGATACAGTGGTACCTTAGGTTAAGAATTTAATTCGTTCTGGAGGTCCGTTGTTAACCTGAAACTGTTCTTAACCTGAGGTACCACTTTAGCTAATGGGGCCTCCCGCTGCCGCCGCAGAGCCAGCGCACAATTTCTGTTCTCATCCTGCAGCAAAGATCTTAACCCGAGGTATTATTTCTGGGTTAGTGGAGTCTGTAACCTGAAGCGTCAGTAACCTGAAGCGCCTATCACACCTGTAACCCGAGGTATCACTGTATCTTACATTAAGATATCTTACATGGATAGCCTGGGTCTTTCACATTGTGAGTATGCAAGTAAAGAAGGCTGATTGCCGAAGAATTGATGCTTTTGAATTATGTTGCTGGAGGAGACTCTTGAGAGTCCCATGGACTGCAAGAAGATCAGACCTATCCATTCTGAAGGAAATCAGCCCTGAGTGCTCACTGGAAGGACAGATCGTGAAGGTGAGGCTCCAATACTTTGGCCACCTCATGAGAAGAGAAGACTCCCTGGAAAAGACCCTGATGTTGGGAAAGATGGAGGGCACAAGGAGAAGGGGACGACAGAGGACGAGATGGTTGGACAGTGTTCTTGAAGCTACCAGCATGAGTTTGACCAAACTGCGGGAGGCAGTGGAAGACAGGAGTGCCTGGCGTGCTCTGGTCCATGGGGTCACAAAGAGTCGGACACGACTAAACGACTAAACAACAACAACAACAAAACAACAAATGCAAGAACCTTATTCTAAGGAAGAGGTTTTGCTACATATTCATATACATAATGAAAGCTTAGCTAACTGATATATTTGCTCCCAGGCAACCTCTGCTTCCTCCATATAACAAAACCTCATCTAGGTGTAATAACAATCTTGGCTAGAGAGCATGCCTAGCCCTGCAATTTGGATCTAGGCTGTTTGGAGTTGGAATCCAACTCGTACTGGGGGGGTAGGGGGGACACACAGATACCCCATTTCTGAGGTAGGGAGCAGCTGTATCATGTGCTTTGTGCTGCTGTTTTTGTTTGATAATTTGTGCTCCAACATTTAATTTGTTGCTTTTGTGATTGTGATTTGTAAGCTACTGTACTTTAAGCAACTCCCTTGTGAAGCAGAACAGCAGATCCGAATTTCTTGAATGAATAAATGTGGATTTCAACATCGAACTGTAAAATGACAATTTTCAGGAAGAGTGTGGCAAATGGCAAAAGTTAAAACAGTGAATGTATTGATGCGAAAAGCGCATATATTCCATTGATGCGAAAAGCGCATATATTCCATTGCCATCCCCCCCCCCCGGAAGAGGAAAACTTTGATGGTATAAGGAAAATGTGTTATTTGTTCATGCACCTGTTTTCAGTTGGCTGTCTGTTTTGGCTATTCTCTTATTCATGAATCACCATGTAGCAAAAGCACCGGTAAGGATTGCCTGGGAGTAAGTCCCATTGAACTGAATAGGACTTATTTCTGAGTAGACATGCTCACATTTGGGGGGGAAGTGTGTTGTCGTTCAGTTATGACTAATGCTGTGTCTTGTGCAAATCTAATATTTCAATATTAAATTTCAGAGGCTGGAAACACTGAACTATTTCCTCTGACTGATGTCGAAATCACTACAATCAGCATAACAGCAGAAATGCCAGTTAGTCATCAAGAAGTACTATAACCAGAAACTGCCTTCCAAGGTCATCACAATTAATTGGTTTTAGAGACAGGGAAACTGTACTCAGCTCTTCATCCAGCCAGGGGGAGTAAATTGAAAAGAGATAGTCATTAAATTTATGTATGTCAAAATAAATGAAGCTATAGCAAGAAACCTGCTTCACCCTTCTTCAGGTACAGCTACTCCACCTGCAGCATACTGGCCAATTTAGCAATGCTTCCTTGTCACATGTGACTGTATGACTCACCTGTGATTCTATCCAAGAGCCAGTTTTTTAATATTATTATTTAGTGGGTATTTGATTGTGTTTTGCACCCCCTGCATGGAATTTGCCGGGAGCACTCTTAGGTGAGAACAGTCACGACCTTACTCAACCTTGAAATTCAGTGCTGATCACAAATAAGCCAGCCTTTGCCTGCCTGTTGCCATCCCGATGTTTTGGGCTACAACTCCCTTCAGCGCTGGCCAGTTGGAAACATCTGGAGGGCACTAGGTTGGCGAAAGCTGCAGTAAGGTAAGTGTGCGGATTGGCTCTTCCGTGCAAGAACAACCTGAAGTGATACGGATCTGAGGGTTGAATTATGCAAACATGGTAGCCTAAGTTAAGGGGTCAAGCTAGTTTGTTCACTTGGGTCCCATAAGGACTGATTTATTTATTATTTTATGCCATAAAATTCATACATAACTTGAGTATAAAAACAAACAGGCAGTAAAATCAATAAAATTACTTATAGCCCTACATATGAAAGTTAAAAAAACTGAAACAGATTTGAACGACCTCAACTTTATTATTCATTCATTTATTTATTTATTTATTAAATTTGTATACCGCCCTGCATCCATTGATCTCAGGGCACTCCACAACTTTCTAAGCCTTCCCTTGCGATTGAGGGGGCCTGGGCCCACACGCCGTCAACTGAGATGGCTCCTCTAAATCCGGGACTGTCCCTGGAAAACAGGGACACTTAGAGGGTCTGCGGCTTCTACGTGATCTGGAGGAAAGATATGGGAAAGTATGCCTGTCAAGCTTCAAGGAATCCGATCCCGCCCACGGTGGCAGCCAAGAAGTAGATAACCAAGAAGAGTTCTTGCAAGTCTTTTATTCAATATTCACAGAGAGAGATGTAGAAATGCTGTCTCTCTTAGATAATGGCATTGCTCTGAGTAAAGTCCCACCACTTCCGTCTCTCCTATTATACGTCATCCCTGCGTCAGCTGGTCTGTGCTTTCTGCCTCTGAGCTTTCTGTTCTCCTACTTTCAATGCACGCCTGGTCCTGGGAGAGGGGGCGGCGGTCAAGAATGCTTTCCAAGGATACTGAGTCTGTCAGTGGTCTCTCTCCTGGTCTTCTTCTTACTCCTGCTCCTCTCCCAATATTTCCCAGCTTCTCCCCTCTGCAGCCTCTGAACTATGACCTTCTGCAAACCTCTGTTGTAAATCTATAGTGTCCTCCTCGGGAAGGTGCAGGAGGAGGGGGGCGCAGTCCCCACCATTCCTCCTCAATCCAGTCCCTGACTTGCATATCTTGGGGGAGGGGGGTTGGTAACCGATGCAATATTAGAAAAATAAGGGGAAGATGTTCAAGTTCTTATCATATTCAGGGTTTCAGCATGTCCCCTTTTCAAATATTACGCCTCCAGTGTTTAGGCAGTCTGGCTTGCAGCCCATATACCT